GGCCAAATAGATTTAGTATCTTTAATTTTTCACAGTTTAAAAAACACAAACTGCAAACTTTCATGTAGAAACATCAGAATCAGAGTCAGTATCCTCTGTGGTGCGTTTTTTTTTTACATAAAATAAAGTTTATGTCAGTAAACTAAGTTCTTTAGGTTGCTTCATAAAATGTTGAACAAAATGATATTTGTTTGAGAGAGTAATTGTTTTAGCTCAACATCAGACTGAGGGTGGACTGAAGGACGCCTGGGGAAGAACTCCAGAAAGACTGCATTAAGGCACCTGTGAAGCTCAAAGTCTGGAGCTGTGCTTTTCCTACAGTGCTATCACTGAACTCATTGACAGGTTGTGAACTCAGAAGAGTTCAAAGACATTTTGAAACCTGCAGAAGATGTGCAAAGAAATTATGACCTGACTCTCACCAACCGGCATTACAAAGAACAATTTGTCAAAAAGAACATGACAGTCTTGTGACATTCAGTTCAAAATACAGAGGTGCTTGAAACTTTGTGAAGTCTTTAGAATTTTCTATATTTCTGCATAAATTTGATGTTAAACTTCATCAGATTTTCACTCAAGTCTTAAAAGTAGATAAAGACAACCAAATTAAAAAAATGAGACAAAAATATTCGATTTGGTCATTTATTTATTGAGGATAACTATCCAGTACTACATATATGTGAGGAGCAGAAGTATATGAACCTTTAGGAATAGCAGATAATTTGAAGGTGAAATTACAGTCAGGTATCTATCACAGTCTGATCTTCACAACACATGTTTGTAGAAGTGTATCATGTCATGAACAAAGGAGATTTCCAAGGATTTCAGACGATGAGCTGTTGATGCTCATCAGGCTGGAAAAGGTTACAAAACCTTATAAAAAAAAAATTCGAGACCATTGTTACACTTCCCAGGAGTGTTCGACTAACAAAGATCACACCAAGAGGAAGGCGTGTAATAGTGTGCGAGGTCACAAAGGAATCCAGGGTAACTTCTAAGCAACTAAAGGCCTGTCTCACAGTGGCTAATGTTAATGTTCATGAGTCCACCATCAGGAGAACACTAAACAACAATGGTTGCATGGCAGGATTGCAAGGAGAAAACTGCTGCTCTCCAAAAAGAACATTGCTTCCTGTCTGCGGTTTGCTAAAGATCACATGGACAATCCAGAAGGCTATTGGGACAATGTTTTGTGGATCGATGAGACCAAATTAGATCTTTTTGGTTTAAATGAGAAGCATTATGTTTGGAGAAAGGAAAACACTGCATTTCAGCATAAAACCTTATCACACACGTGAAACATGGTGGTGGTAGTATTATATTTTGGGCCTGTTTTGCTCTATCTAGGCAGGACGGCTTGCCATCATTGATGGAACAATGAACTCTGAATTATACCAGCAAATTCTAAAGGAAAATGTCAGGACATCTGTCCATGAGCTGAAACTTAAGAGAACATGGGCCATGCAGCAAGACCTGAAGCAGCAGCTCATGGGAGGAAACCCACCAACATAACAGAGTTGAAGCTGTTGTACAGAGGGGCTAAAATTCCACCAAGCCGATGTGCTGGACTAATTAACAGTTACTGGAAATGTTCAGTTACTGCTGCACAAGGGGGTCACATCAGATACTGAAAGCAAAGGTTCACATATTTTGCCACTGGCAGATATGTAAAATTGGTTCATTTTTAAGTTTTAGGTCAAATTCATGCAGAAATATAGATATTCTAAAGGGTTCACAAACTTTCAAGCACCACTGTAAATGACACCTAGTTTGACATTTGGTTTCCCAACACAATGAACCTCATATCTTTTTATTTTTGGCCTTATGGCAGGATATGAAATGCTAAGTAAATTAATGAGTGGTATCGCTATACATCTGATTCACCTTTTTCTCTGCATTTTGATAAAACATGTCAGTCCGAGTTCAGACTTATCTTACTCTCTTATGATCTTATTGGCCTGGTTTATGACCTGAGGCATGAGATTTCCGTATACTTTTATGTCAGGACAATGATCCATAGACCATGCTCAAGGTATGCCGACTGACACTTTGTGCTGACTGGCTTGTATGCACGACCTGAACTGCACACTCCTGTTTCAAGCTTCTAGAAAGCTGTCATCAAACCAGGAGACATTTACATTTCTTTACATGGCTGTTTGTGTTTGTTAACTACATCTTAAAACTGGAATGCTTGATAGTTTTCTACTTTCACACGTTTATTCCTTTTGTCTGACATACATAGGTGGTAGCATAAGAGGTCAAGGTACACACCCAGATGAATGCCACTGTGCCCGAAGGGCATATATATCTCCTGAAAGGCTGTTAACTCACCAACGACCTGAATGAGTTCTGCAGCAGATTTGAATGCACAAAAGACATTCTTCAGACTTTCTCTGCCAGTCCCCCACCCTGGCTCTCTCCCCGCTATCCCCCCCGCTCATCTCACCATAAATATCAGGATGTTAACAGGCTTTTCATTAGACAGAAGGTGGGAAAAGCTCCAGGGCCAGACTGAGTCTCTCCATCCACACTAAAGCACTGCTGTGACCAACCTGTGCCAATTTTCACCAACATCTTCAACAGATCACTAGAACTTTGGTCTGTTCCAACAGGCTTCAAAATATCTACCATCAATCTAGCCCACCAAAAAATGAACATTACTGGACTAAATGACTACAGGCCAGTAGCCCTGACCTCTGTAGTCATGAAGGTCATTGAATGCCTGGTCTTAGCCCACCTGAACACCATTACAGGTCCCCCTGTAATTTGCTAACAGAGCTAACCAGTCTTTTGACAAAGTGGTCAACTTGGCCCTGCACTTCATGCTACAACATCTCAACAGTCCTGGAACCTATGCTTGTAACATAGTGGTTGGCTTATCCCATGTGAGGATTGAACTGGCAATCCCCATGTTAGAAACCCAGCAAGCTTTTGGATAAACCACCCAGACAGAGAGAGAAACTCAACTGCAGAGCAGTAAAGAAAGCCTCAAACTCAAGACTGAGTGGTGAGCTGTGGGAGAGCGATCCTTAAGTATAGCGTGCCCGGCTGCACCTGATTAGCCTCAATTTGGTCGTCCTGATTTTCTGACTCCTCCTAGTGATTAGAAGTGGCCTAGCAGGAGGCTGGGACATTACAATGCTAGCAGAGGTGCTGCAGGTCAAACTGTCTGTGCAAGATCCCATCTGCTGGGGAATCGTGGACTTCCTGACAAACAGGAGGCAACATGTGTGGCTAGGAAAACACACATCAGACCCCTGGACCCTCAGTATTAATGTGCCACAAGGTGCTCTCAGTCCTTCTCTTCAGTCTCTATAGCAATGACTGTGTCTCAAGGAAACCAGCTGTAAAGATTCTTAAGTTTGCAAATGATACCACCATGGTGGGCCTTATAGCCAACAAGCATGAGTCTGCCTACAGAAAGGAAGTCAAGCATGTGGTCTCCTGGTGTAGCAGCAACCACCTGCTGCTGTAGAGATGGTGGTAGCACAATGCCCTCTCCCTACCCCCCATCAACATCAATGTGACTGTGGTTTCCACTGTGGGGTCACTCGAGTTCCTGGGCACCACCATATCCAGGGACGTGAAGTGGAAGAGCAACACAGTCTCCATCACCAAGAGAGCTCAGCATTCCTCCACCTCACAAGATCGAGCCAAAGTCCATAATCAGGACAGTGGAGGAATAATTGGATGTAGTCTGCCAACGCTGACCCCTCTCATCCTGGACAGCACCTCTTCCAGCCACTCCTTTCTGGTAGAAGATTCAGGGCCATCAAAGCCAGCACAACTTGACGTGCTAACAGCTTTTTCCCCAGAGCTGAAGCTCATTAACCACAGTGGACACTCACATTTTAAACATAAACTGAACCATCAACCTCAGTCTGTTTGGTATGTTAACTTCATAAATGTGTGCACGCACCAAGACAGATTCCTTGTATGTGTAACATACCTGGTGAATTGATTGTGTTTCTGATAACAGCCTTGATGACAAATTAATGAGAAATTGTAGAAAGCTGTTTACATGTCCACTTGATTAATTGGGTAACTGCCCAGATTCGTTGTATTATTAGTGTGCATGTATATGCACTAGTAAGTCTTTTCTTAGTTCTTTATCTATTTTTATTTGTTCAGTTACACTTGAATCTAATTGCCCCTAAAGAGGTGGGTGGATCCAGGCAGCAGTGATATTCCACCAAGGGCAAGAGGTAAAAGAGTCCTGATGATTTGTAAAAGGCTTTCGTGAGCTCTTATCTTAGAGATAAAGACAGCCTTGATCCTTCTCCTTTTGCATTTAGAATGACTATATGGAAGGCATTGTAAAATAATATTCACTGAATCATTGGCTGAAGACCACGAGCAACCAAGGACAACCAAGGCCGAATAGGATATCAAGATTACCTTCTTTCATTTTTGGCCTGTGGAAGTCAGGTAGTGATCTTGCCTGACTGTAATATGTTTTGAAAAACAGCTGAAACAGCTGTCCTTGAAATGTCAAATTGGAGGTGCTGGTGACCTCAGAAAGCTGTGATTGCAAAGCACATGGTAATGTTGAGATTTATCTCAGCATCTCAGCTATAAAACATTAATCGCTTGCATCATATTTCCACACTAAATTTAATTAAGTTGATAAGAGAAATTTTTATGTTAGTTTTATCAGTTTGCTGTCCTTCCACTGTTGTGAGACTGATATAAGAAAAAATGTAACATGGATATTTTTGTAGTTAAACATGTTCCAGTAGGGCATACTTTTAGACATCTTATTATGTTCCTATAGCAACACCATCTGATAATTTTGACAGCATTCAGAGAGATATTTCTCACCCTGAAGACATTTTGTACCAGGTCCAAGCTCCAAAAACTCCCTAAGAACAAGAGGAAGAAATCTTGAGAGGAACCAAGACTCAAAAGGGGTCCACACTGGACAGCAAAACAATAACATAAGAGTAATAAGAACAGAAAATAAGGTTTTAACATTAGTGTAAAGTATTAAAAACACACAAAAGGCAATTTAAAAAAAAGGTCCAGGTTACAATAAGCAGAGGGGAGGAGCCTGAGCTTAGGTATAATCAGATACAAGTTGGGAGCAACGATCAGAGTGGCACTGGAGAAACAGGAGAGAACGATGGGCTTCCTGCTGCACATTCTGCTTGCTCTGTTTGTATCTCTGCTAGGGGGGCTTTATCTCCTGGGAGCTTTCCGCCGGCGAAGACCAGGGGAACCCCCGCTGGATAAAGGCCCTCTGCCCTGGCTGGGACACGTGCTGGAGTTCAGGAGAGACACGGCAAAGTTCCTGGAGAGAATGAAGAAAAAACACGGGGACATTTTCACAGTGCAGCTAGGAGGGTTTTACTTCACTTTCCTGACGGACCCACATTCCTTCGGTTCGGTGATCAAAGAGGCACGTGCAAATCTAGACTTCACTGAGTTTGCAGAGCATCTGGTCAAGCAAGTGTTTGGTTACCATCCTCTAGAGAATGACCACAAGTATATCCAGACCTCCAGCAACAAGCATCTGATGGGCGATGGGTTGGTTGTAATGACTCAGGCTATGATGAACAACCTCCAGAACCTCATGCTGCACAGCATTGGCTCCAGTGACAATGGCAAACCATGGCAGGAGGCCGGGCTCTTCTATTACTGCTACAACATCGTGTTTCGCGCTGGTTACTTAGCGCTGTTTGGAAACGAGACTGCAAAAACTTCAGGATGTTTGGAGAAAGCCAAGGAAACTGACCGAAATCACTCGGATGAACTCTTCCATGAGTTCCGGAAGTATGACCAGCTCTTTCCCAAACTGGCATACGGGGTGCTGGGGCCCTCGGAGAAGATGGAGGCTGAGCGGCTGAAGAGGCTCTTCTGGAACATGCTGTCAGTGCAGAAGGTCAATTCCAAGGAGAACATAAGCGGTTGGGTAATGGAGTCGCAGCAGGTACGGGCCGAACAAGGCATGGACGAAAACATGCTGGACAGATACATGTTCCTTCTCCTGTGGGCATCCCAGGGAAACACGGGTCCTGCCAGTTTCTGGCTGCTCCTGTTCCTCATGAAGCACCCTGATGCTATGAAAGCTATCAGAAATGAGGTGGAGGAGGTTCTCCGGGAAACGGGGCAAGAAGTGAAGCATGGTGGGCCATTGATCAATCTGACCAGAGACATGCTGCTCAAAACCCCCATTCTGGACAGCGCAGTGGAGGAGAGCCTTCGTATGACAGCTGCCCCCGTCCTCACCAGGGCAGTCTTGCAGGACATGACACTAAAAATGGCCGACCGGCAGCAGTACAACATCCGCAAGGGTGACAGAGTGGCCCTGTTTCCATACACCGCTGTGCAAATGGACCCAGAGGTGCACCCTGATCCACATACCTTCAAGTACGATCGCTTCCTCTCCTCTGAGGGTGGCAAAAAGACCGAGTTCTACAAAGGTGGAAAGAAGCTGAAGTATTACACCATGCCTTGGGGTGCTGGGTCCACCATGTGTCCTGGAAGATTCTTTGCCACAAACGAGCTGAAACAGTTTGTGTTTCTTTTGCTCACATATTTTGACTTTGAGCTGAAAAACTCAGATGAGAAGATTCCAGATATTGACACCAAGCGATGGGGATTTGGAACCATGCAACCAACCCGGGACATCCAGTTCAGATACAGGCTCAGGTTTTAGGTTCACTCCTTAAAAAAGGTGCCACAAAGAGTTTTTTGAGAGATGGCATACAAGAACCACTTTGCATTCCTATTGGAGGTTCTTTAAACTTTTCAAGAAAGGTTCATGTGGGAACCAAGAGTGGTTCTTCCATGGCATTGTGCAAAAAACCCTTCTTTGGAGGCTTTATTTTTAAGTGTATTGAATAACAGCTTGCTTGTGCAATGTTTCACTAAGCACTTAGCACCACTTAGCTCATTTAACTCTTTACCTTGCATGATTAATGATTTTTTGTTTGATTAGAAAATGAGCATAAGTTTCCCTAATTGATATTTCCCTAATTGATCCCTAATAAGACTAAAATAGGATCTCAAGCGAATGGAAAAAATGAACTGATTGCATTCACAATGCATGCGTTTGTGCTTTCTTATCACAAAATATTTTCATATTCCAAACAAAAAGCCTGGGTATAAACATGGTTAAAAAATTTTTTAAAGTTGTGATAAATTCTGTTCATAAAATGTGCTCCAAGATGTGACATTTGTGACTCCATCATAGCTTTCCAGTACATCAATAAACTTGCCAAAGAAAAAGAATGTGGTGAAAGCTTTTTTAAAATTAAGTCACTTACAAATATGTATCTGAGAGTTTTTATGGTAGGAATCTAAGACCCCATGGGACTGAAATAAGATCATTGCAAAGGAAAAGATGAGCTGACTGCATTCACAGTGTATGTATGTGTGTTTTCCTATGACTGAAATATTGTGATATTCCAAAGTGATTGCACATTTCTTTGAAAAAGAGAAAAGGCCTGGTTATAAACATAGAGAAAATATAATTAAAGTACTGGACATTAAATCCACTCATACAGTGAGTTCAAAATTCAAAGTCTATCCACATTATTTAGGGCACTATAGGACAACCAGCAGGCGCAGTTTTTGTGACCTTTGGTTTGAGCAGAAGGTTGTCGGTATATGACCTCAAGCAGCCTAACAAACACTAATGACAGCACAAGGTCATAACTGAGAGTCTTTATCTAAGGGAAGCACAATCAGAAAGTCTGAGGAAACGCCCACACCACCACACCATACCATGTTGATATCTGTCCAGTGTAATCTTATCAGCTTTTGCTTTACAGCTCTCAGTTTAGTCAACCAGGATCAATTACATTAATGCTTAAGACAATAAACGCAGTTCATCTGTACACAAATCTTACTACAGTTTATCTGTACATTTTATTGTGGAAACTGATCAGTTAAATATGGGTAAGAGTGAAATCCTTTATTCAAGTAAATCACTGTAAAAGGTTTATTGTTAAAATAAACAGGTAGCCACTAAGCTATGATAAAATTACTGTAATTTTTCGGATACTGTAAAATTAATTACGGTACAATTCAAAGTGCTGTATTACAGCTAATTATAGCAATTTCTTCATGTTGTATAATAAAGTACAATATTTTTAAGTCATTTGACTCTCTGTGTTCTCAGTAAAACGTTCAAATTTACTGTAAAGTTGAAATGGAATAAAATGGCCTTTTGTGCCAGCAACACCCGTCTTTAGCTACACCAACTGGCCACTTCATTAAGATCACCTCCTTGTATCTACACACATTGTCCACTTTATCAGCTCAACTGACCATATAGTTTCACTCTGTAGTTCTACAGTTACAGACTGTAGTCTGTCTGTTTCTCTGCATACTTTGTAACCTTGTTCTTCAGTGGTTAGGACCCCCACAGAATCCCTACAGAGCAGATATTATTTGGGTGGTGGGTCATTCTCAGCACTGCAGTGACACTGACATGGTGATGGTGGTGTGTTAGTGTGTGTTGTGCTGGTACGAGTGGATCAGACACAGCAGTGCTGCTGGAGTTGGCATTTATTCAAGTCACCAAAAAAATTAACTATACTCTTGTCCACAATCAGCTTTCAGCTTTTGTAATAAAAGAGCATTTAATACCAAATACCAAATTCACTGAAAACTGACAATGACAGTGTTTTTTAAATTTGTTTTTGGCTTTGGGTAAAAGAACACCACACTATGTGACCTTACATAGCAGGTGTGTTTAACTCGCTAACTAAGTATGTCCACATAGCAGCCTTTTCCAGACTTAAAGAATGCTCCGTATGTAGCTGTCAGGGGGAAACATACAAATATGTCAACATTCATACTACAGCTAGGACAGAGAGTATAAACCAGAGGTCACTAATAGGTGGACCACAGTCTGAGTCCAAACCCCGAAACGCTGTCCTATGCGGACCTGGACCCATAACCAATAAACTATGGAGAATTATTTAATTTTGATGGGGTGGTCATATTTTTTATCGACGTAACTTTTCTAGCCTTTACGGTACCAGTTCCTCACAGACCAATCGCATGTGTTGTAAAAATCACACATGACGCTCCTCAGCCAATCAGATCTGTGCATTACAATGAGCACTGAGACTTGAATGAGTTGCGCACACACAGGGGAAGGACAAGGCGAGAAACAGCAGTCGGAGAAGAAAGTGAGCCATATTATTTTACATGTCGTGCTCTAAAAAGAGAAAACTGACAATAAAGGTTGTTGAAATATGAATTGTACTTTATTTGATTTGACATTAAGTTGTTGACTGAATTAGATGTTGATATACCTACTAGGCTACTTCAGTAAACAGTGTATGGCACTGAATCATAATGCAAGTTAGACATTATAATGTTCTGGACCTTTGCTTGAGAAAATTTTCTTTGACTGGGGCCATACCACATTCTTACCTTACATAGGCTATGTTATGGACCAGGTTGGGGACAGAGAAAATTACAGTTGGTTCACCTTAGATGGGCTGTATGTTAGCCTGTTGTTGGTCAAGCATATAGCAGAAAATTGCCAGAGGAAAACACAACCTTGTTCATGCTGGGTGCCGGCTCAGGACCTAATAAATCGATCACACATACAATTTACCACAGGTCCACCTTAGATCAGTCACATACCAAAACAATTTGCCAGATCTGCATTACCAGCACAAACCCCACACCCTCATCCTGCCTAAGCTATAAAACCTAGTAAAAGAGTAGCTTTACATGCTAACAGACAATTAATGCATTTGCCATTCAATTCAATTTATTAAGCTGAAATGGCAGTCAACATGCACGTCTAAAATGTCAGCTGCTCAAGAAAATCTTTGAAAATTTTACTCAGCTGAAATGTATATATTGTCCTGAATTCCTGGACTATTTCCAAGACATTTTATAAAACTTAGCATTCCAGGTATTTTCCATTCCTGGGTTTAGGACACAAACAAACAAACAGAACAAGTCAAATTTGCATGTCAATGCAACAAACTGACAAACGGTTGAAACAGTCTCATCTGAATGGGCTATTCAGTTCGCTGCCTGGCACAGTGTCCTCCATCTCTATGTCCAGCAGGATGAAGCAACCTTTTAAGGCACTGCTCAATTTCCTGATCGGTTGATGTTGCAGTTAGGCAGTTTCTTCTTACTGCCTTTACAATGAGATCCAGCAGAAATACCGTTGTGTTGTTTATGGTCAGTCACATGAAAATGTTGTCAGACGTTACACATTTTTGTAGCCTTACTGAAGTAACTTTTCTTTCTGCAACACATATGGGTGTAACAGGATATGACATTATGTAACACAAACAGCTTCCAAAAGCATAACAGCCATGTTAGTCAACGATCCTGATATCTTAGGATTGATCAATAAGGTAGCTGATTTCTTAAATAAAAAGCAATCTGACACTGAAACTACATATAACTGAAAATGCTACCCTTGAGTAATTCCACTTGTTTACATCATATGAATTTACCAAAGTTCAGCAAGCTCTAGCTCTGGTGAGGAACAAAGACGTAAGAATTCTTTGCAGATAGATGAAGATGCATTTTCCTGGCTTTGCATGCATTTTAACTGTAGTGAATGGACAAGAAGTGTATAAACTCTCTATTCACACTGTAGTGTGACTGCACCCTAAAGTAAACTTATCCACAAAGGGCCAGGTGTGTATGAAGGGTGGAAGTGAAAAATATTAAATAATAAAAATGGGGCTGATAAAAATGTCAGTAACAATGTGAGACGTGAATTGAAAATCCTAAATGAATATTAAATATCACATTTTGTCATTCATCAAGTTGGTTTTGCATGAGGGTATATATAAATATTCTTTGGTAACAATAATATAGTCTATGTTTTAGATTGTAACTTACTGCCATTTCCTGTGTGGTTTCCCAAAACTTACAGTGTGTGTGTATATATATATATACAGTGGAGGAAATAAGTATTTGATCCCCCACTGACTTTAAAAGTTTTAATACAAAAAAATAAATGAAACGTCTCATAATTTTATGCCAGCTTTATTTTAACAGTGACACATAGAATATCAAAAGAAAAACTGAGAAAATTACATGAAATGAGAAATAAAAATTAATTTGAATTTCATCGAAGGAAATAAGTATTTGACCCCCTAGTAAAACATCATTTAATACTTGGTGGCAAAACCCTTGTTGGCAAGCACAGCAGTCCAACGTTTCTTGTAGTCTTTTATAAGGTTTGTACACACTTCAGGAGTAATTTTGGGCCACTCCTCTCTGCAGATCATCTCCAAATCCTTAAGGTTTTTAGGTTGGAAACGCAAAGCTTCAGCTCTCTCCTTAGATTTTCTATGGGATTGAGGTCGGGAGACTGGCTAGGCCATTCCATGACCTTGATATGCTTCTTATGGAGCCACTCCTTTGTTTCCTTGTATGTTTTGGGTCGTTGTCGTGCTGGAAGACCCATCCACGACCCATTTTCAGTGCCCTGGCGGAGGCAAGGAGGTTGTCACCCAGGATTTTGCGATACATGGCCCCGTTCATCTTCCCGTCGATGCGGTGAAGTTGGCCTGTGCCCTTAGAAGAAAAACACCCCCAAAACATAATACTTCCACCACCATGCTTGACGGTGGGGGTGGTGTTCTTAGGGTCATCTTCTGTATTTTTCTTCCTCCAAACATGTCGAGCTGAGTTGAGGCCAAAGAGCTCAATTTTGGTCTCATCTGACCACAGCACCTTCTCCCAGTCTCTCTTGGAGTCATTAATATGTTCATTGGCAAACTTGAGGTGGGCCTGGACGTGAGCCTTCTTGAGCAGAGGAACCTGGCGTGCACTGCAGGATTTTAAACCATTACGTCTCAGTGTATTACCAATGGTTTTTTTGGAGACTGTGGTCCCAGCTGCCTTGAGATCATTAAACAGCTCCTCCCGTGTAGTTCTTGGCTGATTTTTAGCTTCTCTCATGATCAGTGAGACTCCACGAGGTGATATCTTGCATGGCGCTCCAGGCCTAGGTCGATTGACAGTAATGTTGTACTTCTTCCACTTCCGAATAATTGCACCAACAGTTGTCACCTTCTCATCCAGCTTCTTACTTATGGCTCTGTAGCCCATTCCAGCCTTGCATACGTCAACAATTTTGTCCCTGACATCTTTAGACAGCTCTTTAGTCTTGCCCATGGTGGAGATGTTGGAGTGTCACTGAGTCTGTTGGCAGGTGGCCTTTTATACAGGTGACAATTTGGGACAGGTGTCTCTCATGCAGGTAACGACTTCACTGAGATTAGGGTGTGTCAGTGGTCTGTGGGAGCCAACATTAGTCATGGTTTTTAGGGGATCAAATACTTATTTCCCTCAATGAAATGCAAATTATTTTTTATTTAAATATTATTTAATTTTCTAGATTTTCTTTTTGATATTCCATCTCTCACTGTTAAAATGAAGCTACCATAAAAATCATAGACTGTTTAATTATTTGTCAGAGTACAAACTTTCAAAATCAGTGGGGGATCAAATACTTATTTCCTCCACTGTATATATATATATATATATATATATATATATATATATATATATATATATATATATATATATATATATATATGAACCGTGAGTTCCAGAAAATTACAAAGCAAATATCAGAAGTTGCACTCTAAGTCCCCAGTTGTTACTCTCTTGTTGCTGGTAAAGTTAAGTAATGCTAAAAAAACACCTGGTGGTTAATTGGTAGCAGGTCAGTTACATGACTGAGTATAAAAAAGCATCTCAGAGAGGCGGAGTCTTTCAGAAGTAAAGATGAGGAGGGGTTCATCACTCTGTGAAAGACTGCACCATCAAATAGTGCAACAATTCAAGAATAACGTTTCTCAGCGTAAAATAGCAAAGAACTTTTGCTTTTCATTGTTTATGGTACATAATATCATTAAAAGACTCTGAGAATCCAGAAAAACAATACTGGCTAGCCATGATCCTCAGGCCTTCAAACAGCAGCATTAAAAACAGACATGATTCTGCAGTGGAAATCACTGCATGGGCTCAGAAACACTTCTGAAAACCACTGTCTTTGAATATCATCACTGCATCCATAATTGCAAGTTAAAATTTTACCATGTGAACCATGTAGAAACAGGATTCAGAAACACTGCTGCCTTCTCTGGGCTCATT